CTATACATATCATTACCATTATACTCATTAAACCAAATACTTTTTAAAATCCATATTCAAACAGAGTTAGTGGGTCTACTGTTTGTTTCAAGTCAATCCTTATATATAATATCTTTGTGGTAATATTTGCTATGCCACTTTCAATTTCCAAAAATTTCTTATCCAAAAAACTGAAATCAGTTTACCTCTTCAGATGATCAATGCTCTTCAATCATTCAATCAGATCTCACTTAAAGATCAAAACAAAACTCAAACAAGCTCAAACCAGTTTTGTACTATAACAATAACAACAATTAATATATTATCAATAACTATAACATCACATATACTTTATTATCTATGGTAATTGAAAAGCTGGAGAGATAGGACCATGAGTCTGTCTAGGGGCTTCTGAGGGGAAACAATTGATTTTCTACTTATAGATTTTATAGTACATTCAATTTGGTTTTAGTTACAGTTATTTTTATTTTTATTTTTAATTTTTTACACTTAAAAAATCAAAAAAATTTGTAAAATTTTTTGAGATGATAGACATAGCTGCTACCTAGCCTTATCTGGCATATTAATATTGATTTTGAATTTTTTTATAATATTAGTTAGATATTGATAAGTAGATAAGCTAGCATTTAACTCTTCTAAAATAATAAAAGAGATGTTATTTCTTTTAACAATGTATACCTTGTTATATACAATATCAAAATAAAGAAATGATGTTTATCTATTGGAAAAACCTTTTCCTTTCCAAAAAAAATATATATAATTTTTTTATTAAATAATTTTAATATGTATTTTTTAATTTTTAATATTTAATTATAGTTAATTAATTAAAAAATTCAATAAAAAATTTTTAATTTAACTTTTTTTTATTTTAAATTAATCTTTTATATTAAAATTATTAATTAACAATTAATAAAACTTAAATATTTTTATTTTTATATTATAAAAAATATATTTAAAGTTTTATATCAATTAAATAATTATTTATCAAGTTATATTAAAAAATATTAGTTCAAAGATTTTTGTAACATACTGTATATATTTTATAATTTAATTAATAAATTTATTTGAAAATATTAATTTTAAATCAAAAAAAAAGTTAAAAAAAAAAGTATTATAAATTATATATATAAATTTATATATATAATATAAATAAAAATTACTATAAAAAATTCTCTTATAATCACATTCATTTTGTTAAAAATTTTTCTTTTATAGTAATTTTAAGCAAAAAAAATGTTTTACTCTTTTTATCACAAGTGTGCCTCAACTCAGGAATTCAAAAATCTTCAAGACAATTGGTGTAGTAAAATAGAATCTCTAGTTGAAGTCTACTCAAGTTTGGAAGTTTTACTTATCTTTTAATTGTATAAGGAAAGATCTATAGTAGTTTTTTTTTCTTCAGTTCTTTTATATTCCTTCTTATTCTTATTCTATTACAAAAATCATTTATATCATTACCATTATACTTGCTAAACCAAATACTTTTCAAAACACATACTTAAATAAAGTTAGTAGGTCTATTATTTGTTTTAAGTTAACCCTTATATATAATATTTTCATAGCAATATTTGTTGTATCATTTTCAATCTTTAAAAATTTTTTATCCAAAAAACTGAAATTAGTTTACTCTCTTTAAATGATCAATACTCTTCAATTATCCAATCAGATTTTGCTTAAAGATCAAAGCAAAAACCAAATAAGTTCAAATCAGTTTTGTATTACAATAATGATTATAACAACAATAATAACTAACTTACTATTAACAACCATAACAACAAATAATATTACATATACTCTATTATCTATAGTATCTAAAAGAACAAAGAGTTGGGATCACAAGCCTATCCAAAAGTTTTTTTGTTATATACATGAATCTTATAGTACATTTGATTTAGTTTTAGTTTTAGTTATAGTTACTTTTATTTCTTTTTTTAATTTTTTATATCTAAAAAATCAAAAGAATTTATGAAATTTTTTGAAATAGTAGGCATAGTTGCTACTCAGTTTTATCTAGTACATTAATATTGATTTTGAATTTTTTTACAATATTATTTAAATATTGATAAGTAGGCAAGCTAACATTTAACTTTTCTGAAATAATGAAAGAGATATTGTTTCTTTTATGATATATACCTTGTTATATACAATATCAAATAAAGAAATAATATTTATCTATTGGAAAAACCTCTTCAAAAAAGAAAATTTTTATAGAAAATTTTTTTAAAAAATCAAATATAAAAATAAATAATAATTTTAAGCTTATAAAAAAATTATAAAAAATTTATCATTATATTTAATAAATATTTTTAAAATTTATTTATTTTTTATTATATAAGATTCTTTTAAAAAATTTTTAAAATTTTAAAAACTTTATATATAATATAAATTTTATTAAATAATTTTTTATATTTAATAAAATAATAATAATAATTATATTATTATTATTATAACTTTTATAAAACAAATCTATATATTAAAATAATTTTAATAATTTTTATTATTTCTATTTTAACCTAGCTAGAATCACAAAGATTCCTTATTGGATATGATTAGTCTGTAACTACCGTATACCACTGCATACAATATCCAGAAGGTATTTTACTAGGAGGGGGGTAGTATTAGTGGCAGGGTATATTATTACTATAAAATTCAAAATATATACTAGTCTTACTTAATATTATATTAATATACCTGGGTAGTAATCAATTATCAAGCAACAATTTTCTTGAATATTACCCGATATTATTAGTAGAGGGGTAGTATTTGGGGGGTATTGTATGCAGTGGTATATGGTAATTATATTAGGTTACAGTTCTTCAAGTTTTCATTCATTGAATGATAAATAGAACTAGAAGGTATACACATATCTTGATATATTAGTATTTTATCTATATGATCAGAATTTCAATACTGGTAATATAGAAAAAATAAAGAGCAATAAGTCAACTGGTAGATAAGATTAATCTAAATTTTAGGTAGTTCTACTTGAAAATTAGCAATGAAAAATTTGTATAATATGAATTTATATATACTGTACAAGAAAACTTTATAAAACAAGATGTATGCCAATTATAGAAAAAAAATTTTTTTTAAAATTAAATTTTAAGAAAATTATAATAATATATTTTAAAAACTTTATTAAGTAAACTTGTTATTTACATTCTTAAATATATTAATATAAAATTTATCTTATTTTATTAATTAGTTATTAAAATATTGTAAAAATAAAACTTGATGAATAATGTAATTATTTTTGTTTCATACTGTATATACAAAATATTAACATTAATAAGGCATAATTCAACTGGTATTTAAAAATAAATTAAAAATTTTATAAAGCTTAGAAAATATATTTACAATATGTTTATTATTTTTTTATATATAATTATTATTTGCTAATTAATTAATTTTATTTAAACAAATTGAAAATGTTATTGATAAAATAGAAATTTTTTGTTTTCAGGCATGTTAATGACATCAACATGTGCTTTTTAATATATAGTCTACTTTATCTTTAGACAGGATATAAAAGTACAAGTTTTTGATTAAGAGAAGTAAATACTATGGCCTTTTATAGCATTTTAAATAGTACCAATTTATACTACTGTATGTCGAACAAAATATGCAGCTTACCACATTTGTCACACAATTGCATTGTTATGCCAATCATTTCCGACCTAAATTTCATCTAAGCAATAATTCTCAAGAAGCCCTGTCTATCCCGTCTATCGGAGAATGGCTACGAAAAAAGCACCAATAGTTTATCACCCAAGTTATAACATCACGTTTTGGAATCTTGAAAAGGTTAGCAAGACAAAATTGACTCGAACATTTTTTCCACAATTTCTCAATTTTATTGCATAATAGTTCCACCCATTTGACACACAGAAATATAAAAATATCCATCGATTCCTGATTGAATCAGGCCTTTTTACCATAAATTCTTTTCATGAACCTTCACCGCCAACTCCGCTTGACCTAGAAGACGTGCATTCCAAGCAGTACCTGGATTCGTTGAATAGCAATGCAAAACTTCAGAGAATATTGGAGGTACCTTTCGTGACCATGCTACCACATTCTTTAGTGAAAAAAAAAGTTTTGGAGCCTATGTTGTTACAAACTGGTGGGAGCGTTCTCGCAGCGGAATTAGCGTTAGAAAATGGTTGGGGTATCAACTTGGGAGGTGAGTTGAATGACGACCTTAATTTGGATTTTTTCAACGATACATTTTGCTTATTCATCTCATCTCACCAGGAGGTTTCCATCATGCGCATTACAATGATGGCGGTGGTTTTTGTGTATATGCAGATATTACTCTGATTGTCAAGAAAATGTTGAGCAACTATCCAGATAAAGTGTCAAGGGTGATGATTATAGATTTGGATGCCCATCAAGTATGTCAAATGATGAAAATTCTATAAATTGTGTATTTTTGAATGCCATCTTACATTTACTTATTTAAGGGAAATGGGCATGAGCGCGATTTTGCCCACGACAACAAAGTCCACATCATTGATGCATTTAATTTTCATATTTATCCTCAAGATCGCTATGCCTATTCATCTATCACCACACCTGTTCGATTAACGACTCCGGAACTCAAAAAAGATGAAAAATACCTTCAATCGATTCAATCCGCCATCCTTCAATCTTTCCACGAGTTTCGCCCGAACTTCGTCATATATAATGCTGGAACCGATTGTCTGGAAGGTGATCCCTTGGGCTCCATGAACTTATCTAAAGATGCTATCTTGAAAAGGGATGAGCTGGTGTTTCGAACAGCAATAAGTAATGGTGTTCCAATCGTAATGCTTTTAAGTGGTGGATATCAAAAGAAAAATGCTGAAATCATTTCTACAAGCATCTTGAATATTATCAACAAGTTTGGGCTTTTGGAAAAAATCGGAACTTCAAATTAACTACCGACAAGGGACGGGTTCCGCATATTTGAGAAGTCTTGATAACTGAGAAGAGAAAGTAAATTTTGATATAACTTTATTTAATATTCAAACATTGAAGACGGCTGGATAGTGTTTTAATGCTTCAATATTATTTATTTGTAAATTCTAATACACAAATTAATTTAATTTGTTTTTTAAATCAAAAGCTTTTTTTATATATTTTTAGTTTCTAGTTAACAAATATATATTAATTAATTTTAAATAAAGATTTAGCTAATTAAATATAATATGATACACAGTGAAATTTGATATAACGTAACCCTAGGGCAATTAGTAAAAAATTTTGAAAATTCCATTATAGTAAGATTTTTTTAAAATTTATTATTAAATCCATTATATCAAGATTATTTTATTATAATTATTTTTGAGTCTATTCCACTATATTGAGATTTTTATATGTTTCTGCTATATCAAATATCCACTATATCGAATTTCACTGTGTATATATATAAGAATTAATTAATTATATATATATAATAATTATAATTAATAGATTCAAAAAAAAAACTCTTTTCTACTTCCTTTTCAAATGTTTGAGATTTTTTTTTTTTAGAAAAGTATTGAGTTATTTACTTTTTTTTCTTTTTTTTCTTTATTTTTTTGCTCTTATTTCTTCTTTCCTATTCTTTTTCTCTATTCTACAATTTTTTTTTTCAATATATCTTTTTTTTTTTTTTTTTTTATGTTTGGTTTTTTTTTTT